ATTAATAACTAAAAAAGCATGATGAATTTCAGATGGTGCACCCTATAGCCTTAATATCTTAATGTTAATGTGCTTTTCCAACATAAAAAAGTGAGACTACCATCAGCAAAATGCTCTTTTTGGACCCTCCTCCTCTATACTCAATTCTCACACGGTCCCCTTGTAATTACGAGTTTTAGAGAAGTTACAGCACCATGCCATCCCAAGTGCTTCCAGGGCACACTCCCTCATTGTCTGGTTAGTATTGTATCAGCAGTGATGGAGGGCAGACTTCCAAGATAGATCTTTAGAGTTTTCATGTTTCAGACAGCATCGCTAATCCTCAGTACAAACATCAAACCACTCCCGTTACATAAGCTAAAGCCTGCAGTGGGGTTGTTGTGGTAGTAGAGGAGGTAGGTATTAGCAATGGCAACAAAAAAAAAGCAGAATGCGAGTGACATTTCCGAATACTTTTCTCCGCTGTATAACAAGCATGTTTGGGAAATTTTAAAAAGCGAGGCACAAATGCTGAGGAGGTGGATTTTCTTTGACTCCACTATTTATGGGTGACCAGTCACTTTTGTTCTGAACTGAACAGAGGAAAGTCTGGTGCACTGCATGTGGAAGTGTGTGTCCTTGAACGTGAATGCCGGTGGATTTTTATTTTGTATTGTACGTGGAATACTGTAGTCCCCTGATACTGTAGTCCCCTACAGTATCACTTTTGCATATTGCATTTTGCATCATGCATATTGTATTTTAAGACGGAAAAAGAAGAAGAAACAAATCTGTCAAGATAACCAATAAGATCAGGTAACCGTGACACATCAGCTGGAGAGGAAAGCAAGAGGAAAGACAGATGGTAACTAAAGACAGGTAGACATGACAACTGACAGATAACAAGCCATACAGACGGGCAGGATAAACAGACACATAGCAGACGGACGAGCTACCCAAATGTGGGAAAAGCACCGAGCACTGAAAGCAAGGGAAGTCAGTTCAAAGCTAAACCTCTTCCTGTGTAAATCACTGTGTGGGACCATTATCCGTTTAAGAGATTTCGCTTAGGCCCTTTTTCTGTCTGAGTCTTTCAGATTCCCATTTGAGAATTATTTATCTGCTGAAAAATGTCATGAAAAAGACTCACGATAACATGGTGGTGTGACGTTGCCCTGACGATTTGAAAATGTCCGCCCTTGTTTGTCCTTGTGTAACCAATTTTGTTTTGATGACCTCGTTGCATATCATAGTTCAGTATTATTTGTGAACACAAATAACTCAAATAACTACAAATGGGTTGTCCTCAGTTATACGTTTTTGACTCTCCAAATCTCAATCATATGTACTGTATGTATACAGGATGGAATTGTTTCAACAACCCATTATTTTGAAACCCCAATAGCTCGAAAGGTGTCCCATTTGTCCGACTACCCGTTATCCCAAAAACAAGCTGTCATTGTTCAGAAGGCCCATTGCTCCGCAGATACAAACTCTCCCTGCAACAAACAGAAGCACATGGCTAATTATTATGTATTATGCAGAATGACTTCATCAGACCTTCCACATTATTTTCCCACTGAGGAAGGCATGACCCACTACTCGCCTTCTATAGTTGGGTTGGTTAGGTTTAGGCAGGAGGAGTGAGATTAGTTTAGGGTAAGAATATTAGGGTAAGCCAATCAGAGGCCTGAGGGTCTGATGATGTCATTCTGCTTAATATTTAGCCATGTGCTTCTGTTCATTTCACGGAAGGTTCTTGTTTTCCGAGCAATGGGATTTTGGAACAATGAGTTTGTTTTCAGGATAACGGGCTGACAGACAAATGACTTTCGGACAATATGATATTTTTCTGACTATTGGGGTTTCGGAATAATGAGCCTTCGGAACAATGGCATGGCTCCAAATAAGGCTCATGTGGCTTCAACAGCAAGTGTTTGCCTTCTGAGACTACTAATCTTTCAGATGTGGTGTTGAAAGAGACAATCCTGTACTTGGAAAGTTGTAGGTTCTGCACTAGCCAATGCGTTCATCAACATCCGTGCACTCTGCTAAACTATCCTTGACCAAGACACAATTAAGGAAAGGATATACTTTGAGCATTTGAGCATCAAAGATGCTGTCACCATGACAGCCATCAATAAAGTGTTTACATTACTGAGTGCATGTCCAAAAATAATGCTACGGCTAATAATAAACCTGTAGAAGATGGAAGATACAAAGATTGAGGTTGGTCACCTAAGCAAGAGCCCCGAGGGTAAGACGATGGCCAACCTAAAAATGGTCCTCGATATTTCCAACCCGAACACAACCCATCTACATGTGCGTGAGTGGTCCAGAGAAACACGTCTTAGTTACGGGATGATAGAATACACAGTTGCACTGAAGAGCTTCCTCCCACACGCTAAAATCGGCTGCATGTATACCCTCTTTTCCATGCACCCGTCATCAAGTTTCCAAACATCATGTCCAACCATTACACAACCCAAAGGAAGCAGGTTCTTGACTTCATTTGACATCACATCTCAGCGTAGATAATCATTTATGTAGTTGCTGGGTGTACTTAAACATAAGAAGTGAATTTATTATGTCAGCTTACGTAACATGGTCCGAGCTGGAATAATTGCTGCACTGATAGCGGCCTTTAGCAAGCTAGCGAGATATGTTGATGTAATACAATTATAATGTGGCGTATTTGCCAACAGCTGGGGGACAGGAGGGAGGTTCCAGGATGCCACTGAGCGTCGTTTAATGTTGCATCTGCCATTGGATCTGCCCCGATAAGAATGCTTTTTTCTAATTCCGGTGTGTCTGAGCTGAGTGAGTTTCTGTGCTTTTGACACTGTGTGTGGTGTATTAGCTGGTCACATACAACACCCACTGCTGCTGTAATCTCTAGCTGTTGCCACCGTCGTACACAGCGACAGTTGTAATCTCTGCCTCTCCTTTTGTGACTCACTTCATTTCTCACTAAAATGATTACTGAAGCGGTCTTTTTATTTTTCTACTTCACTCTCTCTCTCTGTCTTTCTGTGTGTGTGTGTGTGTGTGTGTGTGTGTGTGTGTGTGTGTGTGTGTGCGTGTGTGTGCGTGGTTGGTAATCAGTCAGCTTAGCTCTTCATCTCAGTAAACACCATTAGCCCGGTAGGCCAAGCCAGCCAATCAGAGCCCGGTAGTGCCGGCTGGGCGGCCAATAGCGGCGAGGAACACTCACTCCCTCGTGACACGCTGACCTGCTGCATGTCGGTGAGCGTTGCTATGGAAACCCTACTGTACAGAGCGGCTCCGTGGAGATGCAGTGGAGCGAGGGAGGAAAGCGTAAGGTGGGAGGAGAGGAGAGAGGAATGTTGGCAAACGTAGGAGAGGAACCAAAAGCCAAACAGCAGAGATAAGATAGAGGAGGAGTGTTTCCGAGAAACGTGGCATCAGGTGTAGTTGGAGGGGAGAGTGGGACTGGCAGTGAGCTTAGACCTGGCTGTGGGAAATGTAGCTGGCTCTGAGGTGCACAGTGTGATCCAAAGTTATGTAGGCAGCAGAGCATCTTTGGATGTCTTGGCTCCTGACTTTTATTGCTATGGACAAGATAGAGTTCTGAGGTTTCAAAGATAGAGTGTTACGGGCACAGTCCCACCTGCGCGAATTGTTGCTGAATGTGGGCAGTGCCAAGTGGGGTCAACCCAGGTGACAATCTGCCGAGTGAAGCCAATGCGGATGAGTCTGAAAACTTGCATTCTATCAACTGGCCATCAGGGGGCGACTCCTCCGGTTGGAAAAAGCTGATTGTATGGCAGTCTATGAGAAAATGACCCTACTTCTCACTTGATTTATTACCTCAGTAAACATTGTAAACATGAGTTTATGGTCTCAATCTCTAGTTGCAAGTCTTCTTCAATACAGCATGATGTTCAATTACTAAATAGAGTAAAATAGACCATGAAGCGGAATATACTTTAGGGCAGACTTATAGTGATTGACAGGTCGCTGCCGCATTCAGAGCCGTATACGGCGTCTCCACGTCACTCCTCCGCATTCCAAAAATAGTAACTTCCATTCATTGGTTGCAAAAAACAACAACACGGCAAGGGCCGTAATCAAAGATGGCAACTGCGAAAAACGCCAAACTCGAGTCTTACAAACAGTAGGCCACCAAACAATGGTGCGACATCACGATGACTACGTCCAGTTTGGTTCTGTCCACAGCTCATTTTCTGTAACCAGTGTAGCATTAAAGTAGAGTGGAATTAGTTGAATTGGTTGAATCGACAGGGACAAGATAAAAATCGTTTTATTTTTGAAATTCAGGTGAAGAGATGATACTGGGCGTTTTTGGGGCTCTTGCACTCTCAACCCGCCGACTGAGGGCAGGACTGTGGCTTTCTGTTGTTTCTTTTAAAGAATGACATGATTGTCTTTTGCATCGTGACCTGGAGATATTAAATGAAATTCAGGTGGTGAAAACTATCAGCTCACTGCTATAAGATTCACACAGCTCTCCTTTAGCTTAAATAGGATGCTATGCTAACACAAGTCCCAACTAGCTAGCCACCTAACAACCGGTTTGAGGGATTGCTGCTAACTTTATATTTCTCAAACGCAATTAAGTGCTAATTGCATTTCATTTTCACACATTTTAAAAGGGGATCGATGTTCTACAAACAACTTCAGCAACACACCGTTAATCTGTAGCCTGAAACTCCTGTAGCATTGATGCGCAGGGTGCATGCTTATCTGCTGGTGCAAATCGAGTTCATTCTGAAACTTTCAGAAGAAACAAAATACCAAAGGGAGGGAGGGAGGTATGATCTATGATCTATGACATAACTAGAAGACTAATTTTGACTAATAATGTAAAATTATCTTAATTACATATTGTAAAAAAAAACAATAGGAATAAAGAAAGAGAAAGACAAAAATATCAAAAACCTGATGGGGCAAGATGCCTGTTTAATATCTATAATTCTGGCCTTATTACTTATCATCTTACTTTTAAATTGTGTGCTGTTGTGCTCTGGCTTAATCAATCACTCTCTCCATTAAAATAATTCCACCTCATATATTTATACAAAGGACAAATAGATGCTGTTATAATAAGGACACGGTGTACTGCTTGAGTGAGATAAACACTCATAACTAGGCCAATCTCTGCTGCGTTTACAGTATGTGGGTTCAAATACTTCACAGCGCTACGCCGTCTCTCCAACACGTTTCTCTCTGAGTGGTTTTCTTATAAAAAATTTTCCATCCATTTTGTCTTCATCTCACTCCCTTGATTAGAGTGAATCTCTCATAGCAATCACGATAATCATCCATCCAACCTGCCATCTTTGCATGATCTGTTCATCATTTAACTGATCCATCCATCCATCAATCTGTACATCTGTCGATCCATCTATCCCTCCCCACCTCTGTCCATCTGTCCGTCTGCCCCATCTGTCTGGTTATCATCTCCTTTGTCCTGATTCAACCAGTCTGCGGATTTTATCGGGCAGCTCAGGAGTGTGTGTGTGTGTGTGTGTCCGTGTGTGTGTGGTCCAGGCCGGCATTGTAAAACGCCCTGCAAGTTGTAGAGTTATGTAACAAAGCTTTAACTGCGTGTATGCTGTTGTCAGCTCTGTTGCTCAACTCACACCGCCAGATTTCATGTGTGTACATTTCTGCACGCACAATGTGTATACGTGTGTGCGTGCGTGTGTGTGTGTGCGCATGTGTCTATTTTTAAGCAGGAATCCATATGGTGTGCGGTGTCTCATTAACAGTGACTGTCTCAGTCTAAGAGACTCAAATTACATTAATGACACTGATTTCAATTACAGGGTAAATCTGATGCTTCAAAAAAATATTTTACAAATTAAAGATGTTCTAGCTTTTTACTGTAGAAACATGTAGTCATGGATATATTACATGGATCAAAGTGGCCAAAACGTAATTTGGCAGAACTTTCAGATTTAGAGATCACAACAGTAAAACAATTTGATCTTTCTGGCGTCCTACTTGTTTTGGTTATATTTGTTGTCATGCTAGCATCATGGCGCTATGGCAATGCCGATCAGTCGAACCACCACAAAATATCTCAACAGCCACTAGATGGACTGGCACAAAACCTTAACTACATTACTCATGGTTCCCAGAAGACGACGCCTAATCACTTTGGCAACCCTGTGACTTTTCCTCTAACCCCATCATGAGGTTCACATTTGTGATTTTGAGTGAAATGCCACAACTGTTGGATGATTATAGACATTCATTGTCACCAGAAGATGAATTGTTTCAACTCTGATCCCTTTTTTTCGAAAGTGACATTCCCATCAGTCTCGGCTATAGTTAATGTGTAGATTAGATTCGATTTTAACGTCCACCTTAGTGGTGATTTGTCTTTTGGTTCTCCCAAGAACAACCTGTTCTGACTCCCAACTCGTCAAATACAGACGCTTGGTCAGTGGCCCTTGGCGTCTTATACAAAAGCACAGAGGCACACTTTAGCGTCTGTATGAGACGCACTAGGCTTTCAACTAACCCCATTATAAAGCCATCTGTGTCAGTATTAGAAGGTACGTATTGTAAAAAAGCGTGAAAGTCCACTAAGGGTGGAGGTTGGGGTGAATGGCTGATCGAACATCGCTTTGTCACCCAGGAGACTAGTGCTCATGTCTCGTGTGAAACCAAGTCACCAATGACATCCTTTACCTTACTTTTGTTACAAACATACTTATTTTACATTTAAAAAAGCATACTTATTTTAACCCAAACCACGACCTTTTCGTAAGCCTAGCCAAGAAGTTTACTTACTTGCAACGTAAGTAAGTCTACCAAGTTTATTTTGAAAGGACAATGAGCGGGAGATGTACTTTTTCTGTGAACGCGGAAGTTTATTTTGAAAAGACACTATTCATGTAATGAGCCAAAGCTGACACGCCTTCCCTGTCAAGTATTGTTAATAAAACATTTGGACTAATTAGCAAATGTAAGCATTGTAACACTCTGAACTAAGATGGTAAACATCATACCAGCTTAGCATCAGTATGTTAGCATGCTGATGCTAAGCTGGCCTCACAGAGCCACAAATGGGTGTAGACTCCAACCAAAACCACAACTAGCTCGGTTGGAGTGAAAGAATATTATTATTATTATATTAATAATATTAATAAATTAGCCTCCTACACTGCCACTGAAGTGTGAATGATTTTGTTCTGTGTATTTGACTAGATCTGTTACAGCAAACCGGAGTGATTAAACTGGCATGGTACATGTAAGCGTGGAAATGGAGGGTGAAGACATGGATTTGATGTCTCAGCCCTCCGCCCAACCCTGTTTTCTAAAACACCTTGTTTTTCTTGGGAGTTGTTACTTGGGAGCTGCTGTCCTCATCTGTCCCTCCAACCTTTTATTCATCCCTTAAGACTGCATGGCCTGAATTGAAGGCATCCAAATACACAGTGTGTCCTCATGAAGCTGAGGGGTGAGGATGAGGAGGACAAGAAGACAGAGAGGAAGAGACAGAGGTAGAAAATTAGAGTCATTTTCATAGCCGGTCCTGATGCAACCCCCTGCCTCTGGACGAATGTGTGTGTGTGTACGTGTGTGTGTGTGTGTGTGTGTGTGTGCGTGCGTGTGTGCGTGTGTGTGCATCGACAAGGCACGGCAGAAGAAAGGATGACCTGAGATGACCTCTGGGCAAACTCCTCCTATTGCACATCTGTCTCATCTGTAACATCGACATTTCAATCATTCTCAAGTAACGAGTAATTTTCACAGATGACAATCATCAGTCAATCCCAAATAACACTCCTTGACAGGTGCTGGTTGATTCACACATCCTCACATACACACGCACACACACTTAAACCCACTCCCAAAACACCCACAATGCATCTGCCCGTGGGTCTCCTCCCCCTCTTACCTCCATCTGAGTACGTCTCTGTTCCGTATCCGTCCTGCAACCCGTTGTTCCAAGTCCCCTCGTACTTCCCGCTCGTCCCCGTGCTCTCCCGCACGCCGTAGCGTCCCTTAAAGCCGTGCGTCCACTCGCCCTTGTACACCCAGCGGCCCTTGTTCTCGACGCCCACGCCGTGTCTCTTGCCCTGAGCCCAGGTGCCCTGGTAGGTGTTCCCGCTGGGCCAGGTGTAGACGCCCAGCAGCTCGAAGCCGTGGGCCCAGGAACCGCAGTACTCGCCCTGGCCCTTGGGTCCCGTGCAGATCCCGTGGCCGTGCGCCTTGCCCTCCTCCCACCCTCCGCAGTATGACCCCCCATCGTCAAAGTTGAACCTGCCGCCAGTGGACATGCATGAAACAGGTCTTGGCAATTCCCCTGAAGCCTCGACAAAAAGAAGAAGAAGAAAAGAAAAAGAAAACAAAGGGAGAGAGAAGAAGGACAGGTTGGTGCTAGAACCAGTACACGGAGCGCCGCTCGGAGGTCAGGGGTGAGAAGGAGGTGGAGGAGGAGAGGGTGGGAGGGAGAGGGAGAGAACTCCCACGCAAATCGAGCAACGCCACCCCTTGTTGTCGGCTGGTTTTGGAGAAGGAGGATGAACGAGGTGAGCAACAGAAACGTGGCCCCTTCAAGGGGTTGTCAGGGGTCTTCCGGCGCGGTGGGAAAGGGCGATGCGGTTCATACCATCCTCTTGGTGGGCTCCTTATGGCATCGGCTAGCACTTTCTCGCTTCTCTGTGGCAGACGCAGGTGAGAGAGGAGGAGAACGGGCCCCGAGCTGCCATTATCCTCTCTCAGCAGGGGTTTAAACCATGAGGCAGCTCCACCGGCCGGGCCATCGGCCTGCGTGGTCTACGACAACTCTTCCTCCTGCTTTACCGTTCAGTGCCCCCACGCCTTCAGCCGCCTCCTACCTGATGATGCCTCCGCCTCTCTGGGGTGTAGAGCCTCCAGCATAGAAGCCACCCTTAAAGGCTCTCTGATCAGCACCGATGCCCAAACTGGAACTGTGACATGTTGTGCGATGAAGAAAGAAAGAAAAAGAGAGTTGTTCTTCTTCAAGCTCAGTCCCGATGATCAGACAAAAAAAAGAGACCATTTAAAAGTCAGACTCTGTAGCTCACCTCACTTCACTTCACCCTCCTTTTCTTATCCTCAGCCTTCACACACACACACACACACACACACACACACACACACACACACACACACACACTGCCTGGTCGCGCAGCGGCGAAACACACACAGAGAGAGAGGGAGAGACAGAAAAATGGGGTAAACACATAAGGTAATCAGCTTGGCTGCCTTCTTCTTCTTCTTTTTGTCTGTCTTGTGGAGCTGGAGAGCAGCAATGCAGTCTCCTGCCTTATCCGCTCACACACAGATACAAACACACACATACATACATACACAGTCTCTCTGACAGCAAGTGCGCACACACAGACAATGAAAATAAACAGCTGAATTGATTAATTTCTCCTCCTCTATTCCCTCTGTCCCTCTCTGTCTCCCGCTCTGTCTCCCGCTCTCTCAGTCTGTCTGTAGGTCTTTAATCCACTGCGTCCATAAGTGGTTTATCCTCTGCGTGGTTTGCCTTCAGGTTGACCCGCTTGATGAAACACCATCCATCTATATGATCCTGTTAATGGTGTGTTCCGTCCTCTTCAGCATCTCCTGCTCGTCTCCATGTTTCCCTACGGAGCGCCGGCTGACGCACAGCCTTCCTTCCTGCCTGCTGTCTTGGTTCTTACAATCTTCTCTCCTCCTACTGCTGGATATCTCTCTCTCCCTCTCTCTCTCTCTCTCTCTCTCTCTCTCTCTCTCTTGCTCTCT